CCTGGGCATCCTCTAAACCAGTCTGGATGCAGCTTCAAGAATGGATGCTTCGGGCCGGGCGCGGTGGCTCAAGCCTGTAATCCCAGAACTTTGGGAGGCCAAGGCGGGTGGATCACGAGGTCAACAGATCGAGACCATCCTGGTCAACATGGTGAAACCCCGTCTCTACTAAAAACTACAAAAACTTAGCTGGGCATGGTGGCACGTGTCTGTAATCCCAGCTACTCAGGAGGCTGAGGCAGGAGAATTGCCTGAACCCAGGAGGCGGAGGTTGCGGTGAGCCGAGATCACGCCATTGCACTCCAGCCTGGGTAACAAGAGCGAAACTCCGTCTCAAAAAAAAAAAAAAAAGAATGGATGCTTCAGTGACTGCAAATGAAGGCTAGAATTAAGGCAAATTGGATAATGGTTATGAGACACATGCTACACTCGCTGAGGAGGTATACACTGCACACCCCAAGGTTTTTGTTTTGAGTAGGTGAAGTGAATTTTTGTTAACCTTTCAAAATAATTTCAAATTTACAGAGAAGTTACACGAATAATACAAATAGCTATTTACTACTAAAGAACTATCAACATATTACCACAGTTGCCTTATCATTTTTTCTCTGTGTATATTTTTTTCTGTAAATAGCCAACATAATGCCCCTTTACACCCTTAAATACTTCGGTGTACAAATGTTAAAATCAAACACTTGACATGGATATGGTACTATTATCGAATCTGTAGACTTTATGCAAATGTTGCCAATCATCCTACTAATGTCATTTATAGAAAAAGAAAACATCAGATCACAAGTTACATTTAGTTGTTACACAAAAGAATTCAAAGTCTTAAACTAGGTCGGTACGGTGGCTCACGCCTGCCATCCCAGCACTTTGGGAGGCCGAGGCGGGCAGATCACCTGAGATCACAAGTTCAAGACCAGCCTGACCAACATGGAAAAACCCCATCCCTACTAAAAATACAAAATTAGCTGGGCACGGTGGCACATGCCTGTAATCCCAGCTACTCAGGAGGCTGAGGCAGGAGAATCGCTCGAACCTGGGAGGCGGAGGTTGTAGTAAGCCAAAATTGCACCATTGCACTCCAGCCTGGGAAAGAAAATCAAAACTCCATCTCAAAAAAAAAAAAAAAAAAAAAAAAGCTAAAACTCAGAAACGAAGCAAAAATAAAAAAGGAAACGAAACAAAACAATAATATTAAAAATATCAATAACACTACAACGCTGGAAAGGAAAAGGAAGCAAGCCTTCAGATAAACAGAAATTCACAAAATTCCACGACATGAATAACTGCAACTTAGTTTCATCCAAGTTAGGGCATGCTTTGCTTCTGTTTTTGAAAAGGAAACAAAAAACTTTATCCAGACTTAACCTTGATTTCCCAGATACAAGTTTGGTCTTCTTTCTTTGACACAATAATTTTCTGACGCATATCTTTACATTCAACCCATAAAAATGGACTATCCTGTTAATCAACATGAGGGGAAAAAAAACACAGCCATTAAGACCATCTTCCTGCATGTTAGCTGACTACGAAGGAATCATGAAAACTGATCTTTGACAGAAAAATTCCAGTTACAGGAAATTCCAGTTACAGTTGTTTAGTTATTCCAAATAACTGAACAACTATAATAGTGTTATGATGTACTTCAGGCCAAGGTATCAGCTGCAGACTCCTCAGAAAAAGAAAAAGGCATGCATTAGCCAGGCTAATAAAAATTACCACAAAGAAATGTGCTGGAGCAGAGAGAGGAATCAATAGGAAATGCTGGATAATGAACGTGTAACCAACGCTCTCCCAACGGCACGTACTAGAACAAATGGGTTTTTGTTCTCTTCAACTTTTTAGACACCAGGCCACTAAATGAGTCCGCGGGAATAGGCACACAGAAGAGCTCCGTGCTGTGTGGTTAGCCAAGTGGATGAGAAGGCTCATTGTTAAGGTATTAGTAATAGGGTGGAACTCAGATACACAAGAATCCCAAAAGCAAAGTACATTCCACAGACGCATGATCCTATTTCAGCCAAAGTCCACATGCTGAGGTTAATGAATTAGGAGGGCAATGCATAAATCAAGACATCTGTCAGCACTTACGAATAATCACAGGGCCAAGGAACCCCCTCATCCATCCCCTAAACACTCAGACAGAGAAAGGACAGCCCAGACAAGGAAAGTCATTCCTAGAGACAAGCCTAGAGGTGGCAAGAGTTGGCAAGGCTGTCTAAAGAGAAAGCTCTAAACATATAGCTCTGGAATAGTTAGGGTTTTGGAAGAGGAAAAACCACCAAACACAACCCACGCACAGAAAGATATTCTGCCCGAAGGAGGACTACGACATCACTCATTAAAATACAGGCCTTGCCAGGTGTGGTGGCTCATGCCTGTAATCCTCACACTTCGGGAGGCTAAGGCTGGCGGATCACTTAAGGTCAGGGGTTCGACACCAGCCTGGCCAACATACAAAAAATTAGTCAGGCGTGGTGGTGGGCGCCTGTAATCCCAGCTCTTTGGGAGGCTGTGGCAGGAGAATCGCTTGAACCCGGGAGGAGGAGGTTGCAGTGAGCTGAGATCACGCCACTATGCTCCACCCTGGGTGAGAGAGCAAGACTCCATTTCAAAAAAAACAACACGGGGCCTCTTCTTTGCAAAGGCCATGGAGAGAGAGTATGGGGGGGAAGGAAAATGATTATCTTGCAGTGGACTCAGCTGGTACTAGGTTCACTCTGAGGCAAAGCCCTCAGTAATCTTATCTATAAAATGAGGGGTATGAGATCTCCAAGTTCTTTCCAGAGAAGTTAAAAGAAAACAGTCTTTGGAGTCCAACAATTCCCTGCTCCACAATTTATTGACCGTGCAGTTTATGTCACTCTAGGCCTCAACGTCTTCATCTGTAAAACTGGGGTTCTACCTGGATCAATCAGGGTTAGATCTGACTGAGACTCCAAGCTTACAAAAGAAGTTTATTCCTCTCCCTCCCCCAGGGAAAATTCCAGAGGTTGCAGCCAGGATTTATGAGGTGGCTTTAATCCACAAAGTCCTCTGAGGTCAGAAAGTCACCTCAAGGTTCAAGATGGCTGCTGGAATTCCAGCCATCATTTCTGTATTCTAGTTTTGGCCAGCATGTCTACATTCCAACAGCAAAGGAAAAGGTAAGAAGGGTCCAAAGAAGGTTCCAGGAAATTACTAGGTGACAACTCTGCTTACATCCAGATTCTAATCTCATCACCATCCTAGGTGCAAGGAGGAAGAGGGATGAAAATACAGTTTTAGTTTGGACAGCCATGTCTCCAGCTACAAACTGGGGTCTATAGCTACAGGAAAGGGACAGAATGGATAGCTTTGCAACACCCACCCTATCTCATTTTAAAGATTAAATTGGATAATACATGTCAAGTGTCTGATGCTTTGTGGACCCACAAATACACAGGGCCGGCATTCCCCTTGTGGTAACACAGACCTTTTGTGATCTGTGATCTCAGTGGCCGAAGGGGTCCTTCAGAAAGTAGCCCCTTTTTTAGCCGAGTCTGCCATTTCCAGTCTCATCTCTGACCACACTCCACATACAACTTGCATTCCAGCCATACTAGACCTATCTCCTTTCACACCTCCAAACCTCTGTGCCCACAGGGGCTTCTACCAGATACGCCCTGCTCTGAAGCCCCTGTCTGCAGGATGAACTCCTCTCTTCAACATTCTAGAAGGTCTGCCCACACCTGCCACTTCTGCCCTTTATGCCCAGACGGAGCTGGCGCTCCCACTCCCAGGTGCTTCCTACAGAGGAGCACTCGCCAGCTGTACTGCTGCCTCTAATGAGTGCTGGCTGGCTTGCTTTCTCTCTCTCTTTTTTTGTCACCCAGGCTGGAGTGCAGTGGCACGGTCTCGGCTCACTGCGTCCTCCACCTTCTGGGTTCAAGTGACTGTCCTGTCTCAGCCTCCCGAGGAGCTGGGATTACAGGCACGCACCACCATGCCTGGCTAATTTTTGTATTTTTAGTAGAGAGAGGGTTTCACCATATTTGCCAGGCTGGTCTCAAACTCCTGACCTCAGGTGATCCACCCACCTTGGCCTCCCAAAGTGCTGGGATTAAGGCGTGAGCCACCATGCACGGTCCTAATGAGTGCTTTATGTACCACCCATTGTCCTAAACCCTTTCCACACAGCTTCTCAGCTGATCCCCAAAACTCTTTGACATAGACATCACATTATCCCCATTTTACAGATCAAGAAACTGCAACAGAGGTCAAACAGCTTGTCCAAGTAGAGCTGGAATGTAAAAACAGGCTAATGGACCTCAGAATCTACACTCTTAGCTACGACACTGGGCTGCCTCAACTACTTGCATAAGAAATTTACACGTAATTATAGGGAAGGGATGATCGAACTACATACATCTCACAGGCTAAAATCAGCCCACCACCAGCTTTTATAAATAAAGTTTTATTAGAACACAGACACATCCACTTGTTTACAAAGGAGCATTGGGTAGTTGCCATGGAGACGTATAGCCACAAAGTCTAACCTATCTAGCCCTTTACAGAAAAGTCTGCTCCCCGCTGCTATGGAATGTCAGCTTCTTCTTAAGGCCGGGCCTGTGCTTCTTCCCTCCCGTCTCCCGCTTCTCACATGGCATTTGGCATATACACAAAAAAAGCTCAAAAGTACTTGGGGTATAAAAATTCCACCAGGCCTAATTACAATCAAAGAGGAGTGTGTCTTGGGGATGGTGCTGCCAGCTCACTCAGGGCTTAGAAAGTTTCCACAGTGGCTCATGCCTATAATCCCAGCACTTTGAAGGGAGGCCAAGGTGTGTGGATCACCTGAGGTCTGAAGTTCAAGACCACCCTGGCCAACATGGTAAAACCCATCTCTACTAAAAGTACAAAAACTAGCCAGGCATGGTGGCAGGTGCCTGTAATCCCAGCTCCTCAGGAGGCTGTGGCAGGAGAATCACTTGAACCCAGGAGGCGGAGGTTGGAGACCACGCCACTGTATCCTAGCCTGGGCGACAGAGCGAGACTCTGTCTCAAAAAAAAAAAAAAAAAAAAGAGAGAGAGAAAAGAAAAAAGAAAGTTTCCCAACTCTGTCCAGACTCTAGTTAACAAGCAGAGGGCCCACACAGCTCTGATGTGAGCTGAGTGAGGGTTTTTTGTATCAGTCACCTGATTCACTCAATTGCCCTGAACCCAGGGCCCGAGCAGAGCCCCCAGTTCCACCCACACATAAGGAGAATCTGAACCCCACCACTATCCAAAAAGCGTCCAATCCCACCAGCCCACCACAGGCATAGCAGCCTGCTCAGGACACAAGGCTGGCCGTGCAGGTAAACACTGAAAACATCCTGGAAAAGACTTACTAAAAGCTGATATTGGTTGCCTTTCAACTTTGTATTTTCATCAATATATTTACAGAAAGGGACTAAACCACACGAAAACATAAACAGTCCCCTAAAAACGACAACACAAAAAGATTATTCATAGTGCAAATGCCTTCTCTGACCTTCAAGGAACAGACTTGCAACAAAAGACCATATATAATGCTTCCTAATTTTATCATGACTATTGATATCATTGCATGAGGCACCAATAAAGCACTTTCTTCTTTCTGGGCTGTGACCATATTCAGTCCAGTGTAGGTTATCAAAATTCAAATTCGGGATGGTTTTCTTTTTAATTCTGTCTTGGCCTGGCCCCAAATCGCATCAGTGGGAGCCAGGCAGAACCGTAAAAAGCTTCCCACGTTTCCGGCACAATCATTTCAACCGTTCTTCAGGACGGAAAGGCCCATGTGGCTTCTTTCTGCCCTGATCCTCAGACAACTGTCCTGAGCAGCCTCTGAGGCACCACAGCAAACGCAGACCGCCACTGGGCAGATCAAATTGCTTAAGTCAACCGGGTCCTCATGCAATGACATGGGGACTAGGACACTTGCAGATTTGCCAAGGCTGGGCTTCAGTGACCACCAACACACCTCCAGGTTCCAGAAAGCTCCCCACTAGTCTGTGTAAAATACAAGACTCTGAGTCACAAACTTCTGCTGAAGACCTACTGTGCACCAAACACCATTGTGGGACTGGTGCCTGCGGTGGCCTCACAACGCGACGAGGTTAGCAACATTTTACAGATGGAGAGACCAAGGCCCAAAGAGTTAAATAACTTGCCCAAGGTCACGTGGCCAAAAGGAGGCAACGCTGGAAAGATAAGAAGGTCTACACAGCTTCTCCCTAGACTGCCCCTCTCAGAAGCAACGCCACGCGCGCGAGGAAGAGGCAGTCTTGTTTTCCAGAAGCTCTCCAGGTGGCAACACGAAGGTGGCTAGGATGGAGAGCCATCTGTTCATTTGTACACCACTGGTGGCAGCGTGAAATGGTTCCACTACTTTGGAAAACAGTTTAGCACCTTCTAAATAGGATGGATACACCAGCAATTCTAATGCTAGCTACTTACCCAAAAGAAATAAAAGCATGTGGCCACAAAAAGACGTCCACACAAATAGCAGCTTTATTTGTAATAGTCAAAAACTGGAAACAGCCCAAATGTCCACCTGCAGGTAAGGGATAAACTGTGGTATATCCACGGGACGTAATACCACTCAACAACAAAAAGAAATGAATTCTAAACTGCAGATAGGCACAAGTGCATGGATGAACCTCATAACATTATGCTGAGCTGAACAAACCAGATTCCAAAACAAATATCCTGCATGGTTCCGTTTATATGAAACCCAAGAACAGACCAAACGAATTGGTGGTGATAGAAATCAGAAAGGAATTGTGGCGAGGCTCGATGGGTCACACCTGTAATCCCAGCACTTTGGGAGGCCGAAGTGGGCGGATCACCTGAGGTCAGGAGTTCGAGACCAGCCTAACCAACATGGTGAAACCCCATCTCTACTAAAATACGAAAACAATTAGCTGGGCATTGTGGTAGGCGCCTGTAATCTCAGCTACTCGAGAGTCTGAGGCAGGAGAACTGCCTGAACCCAGGAGGCAGAGGTTCCAGTGAGTTGAGATCATGCCATTGCACTCCAGCAAAACTCCATCAAAAAAAAAAAAAAAAAAACCGCCAAAAAAAAAAGAAAAAAACCACCAAAAAAAAGGAAAAGAAGGGAAAAAAAAAAGAAAGGAAAAGGGAAGGGAAGGGCAAAGGGGGAAGGGGGAGAAAAAGGGAAGAGAAGAGGGAAGGGAAGGGAAGGGAAGGGGGAAGGGAAAGGATTGCAGTTGAAAGGGAACTGACTGGTATGAAGCACAAGGAAACATCCTGGTGGGGGTCAAAGGAGGGGCATGGGATGTTCCATATCTTTTGGAGTATAGCTATATGGTATAAACAGTTGTGAAACCCATCATACCGAACACCAAAGACCTGTGCATTCATTGTTTGTTAATCATACCTTTAAAAAAACAAATCTTCAGACTAATGAGTCATTCTGGTAATAAAATGGAAACCACAGATTATTACATGTATATTTCCAAAATTGATTGCTCAAGAAAATTTAAAGAAACCCCAAAGAAACTCTGATTTGCCTATTAAAGGAAATTAGGTTTACTCACAGGCATCAGAATCAATGTCCTTCACAATATTACTTGCCTTGCATTTGCCCACGTGGTCTATCTAGTAGACTGAGATGAATGAGTCCACCCACCAACCCTTCCCAGCAAGCCGAATTACAGTCATGATAGCAACTGGGCTCTATCATCAAACAGACAGACGCCTACTGCCATAGTAACCACTGAAGGGTGGGAAATGTGGCCAGGGGAGGAAAGGCAGATCTTAAGACCTATCTTAGAACTATGTGTGGGAGTCTGAATAATGACCTCTCCCCACATCCCACCCACTCCCGCATCCACAGAATAACCACATCCTAATCTCTGGAACCTATGAATGTTGCCTTATATGGCAAACACTTGGACCTGTGGCCAATGTGATTAAAGTTCTTGAGATGGGAGGGTGGTCCTGGATGATCTGGCAAACACAGGAGTTCTAAGGGGAAGGTAGAGAGAGGGAGATGTGACACACACAGAGAGGATGAAGATGTGAAGACAGGCAAAGTTTGGAGGGATGCGTTATCAGCCAGGGAAAGCCAGGAGCCACCAGAAGCTGGAAGAAGCAAGAAGCAGATTTTCCCTCAGTGTCCCAGAGAGAGCGCCAACATCTTGTCCCACCAACACCTTGATCTGGACCCAGTGAAACTGATTTAAGACTTTTGGCCTCCAGAACCTTAAGACAATAAAACTTGTGTTGTTTTAAGACACAAAGTCTGTGGTGACTTGTTTTAACAGCCATAGGAAACTACCACGGGCTGGAAGCCTTAAATCCAGTACGACTTCCACCAGCAGCCCACGTTCTCCCAATAGTAACTCAAACTTCTAATAAATATTCAAATTTATAAAAGTCATTTTTTAGAAATAAAAATCAGACAAGGGCCTCATGACCAGAAGCAGGCAAAGATTTCCTAAACAGGAGTCAAAAAAAATCATAAAAAGAAAAAAAATTAAAAATGTGACCACATTAAAACTAACAATCATGGACCAGCAAGGTGGCTCATGCTTGTCATCCCAGCACTTTGGGAGGTAGAGGTGGGTGCATCACTTGAGGTCAGGAGTTCGAGGCCAGCCTGGCCAACATGGCGAAACCCGATCTCTACTAAAAATACAAAAATTAGCCTGGCATGGTGGTATCTGTAGTCCCAGTTACATGGGAGCCTGAAGGAGGAGAATCGCTTGAACCCGGGAGTCAGAGGTTGCAGCAAGTCAAGATGGTGCCATTGCACTCCCATCCTGGGCAAAAGAGGGAGACTCTAACTCAAAAAATGTAAATAAATAAAATTAAATTAACAATTCATGTTTATCAAGACATGAGAAGATGAAATAGCAAACCACAGAGAGAAAGAAGTGTGAAATGGTTCAGCTGCTTTGGAAAACAATTTAGCACTTTCTACGTAGGATGGATACACCAACAATTCTAATGCTAGGTATTTACCCAAAAGAAATAAAAGCATGTGACCACACAAAGGCTTGCACACAATAGCAGCTTTATCTGTAATAGTCAAAAAACTGGAAACAACTCAAATGTCCTCCTATAGGTAATGGATAAACAAACTCGGCACATCCACAGGACATAATACCTGCAGAATACACTGAGTCTCCGGATCTGCAGTGCCCAGGCGCATGCGTACAGGCAGCCAGCAAAGGACACGTACCCAGAGTACATAAACATCTCTCAAAAGGAGAAAAAGGCAGACACCCAATAGATAAGTGGACAAAGGACTTAAAGAGCATCTTGCAAAACATGACCTCCAAAGGGCCAATAAATACATGAAAACATGCTCAACCTCATTAGTCATCAGGGAAAGGCAAATTAGAATTGGATGGCATGAAATGAGGCGATATCAAGTGTGGATGAGAAGGTGGTACACACAGAACTCTTTCTACACACTTTTGGTAGAAGTATTAATGAATACAACCAGTATGAAAAACTCTCTGCTAGTATCTAATACACGGGACAGGAGCAAACTCCTAGGTGTATATCCACAGAAATGCATACATAGTTCTCCAAAACACACATACTAGAATGTTCACAGTATTTTGACCCTACAAATAGGGTCAAAAACTGAAAAGAACTTAAATATCAACCTACAATAGACACATGTATTTAGTATATTCATACAATGGAATACCAAATAGCAATGAAAATAAACAGACCACAACTATACACAGAAACATGCGTGAGCCTCCCAGACATAATGTTAAGAGAAAGAGGCCGGACACACAGATCATGCATCATACAACACGCAGTTCAAACGGAGGCCAAACCACTCTACGGTGCTGAGGACAGAACAGTGGTTACCTTACGCGGGCAGATACTATAAGAGAAGGGGCTGTGGGGGTCAGGGATGTTTTGGCAGCTGTCTCTTAATCTGGGTGTGTTCCATTTATGAAAATCATTGAACTGCGCATGTGTATGATTTGTGTACTTTTCTGAATGGAGATTAGACTTCAGATTTACCCTCGAAACCCAGGGTTAGATGACATGAAAAGGCATGAGCAGCTTTTCTTTTTCTCAACAAGTTTTTCAAACTGCAAAACAGACCCAAGTTCACCTTAGGAAAACAGAGAAGAGAAGATAATGGAAATCGCCCACAATCCCACCAAGCAAAGAAAACCATTTTGGTGTGAATCTCCTCAAATACACATACACTTTCAAAGGAGGGGGCGGGCAGATTCTACAGGGAATGTTAACACGAAGCAGGTGCTCAATAAATATGTTGGACCGTAAGTGAATAAGCAATATTAAACACTGTTTTGTAACCTAGGCAGCCATCACTTTTATAATTACTATCAATGAAACTATCTAGCATCCCTAAAGGATTTTAGCACACAGCCTCAACACACTGGCAGACTAGACAGGAAAATAAGCAGATACTTCTTATGTACATGCAGACAAGAATACAAAACCCAGGGCAGTGACTTTCAACCCTGGTATCACCAGTTCCCTCTAAAATTATAGGGCAACTCAAAAAAAAAAAAAAAAACTTATTTTCATTCAAGGTGACTTTAAAAATTAATATATACCCCAGTGATGCCTTACTTTGGGATAAGTGGTCCCAAAACGCTGGGGGCTAAACACTAAACACTCAAAGTACGTTGTCAATCCAGATCGAGTCAAAAGCAAGCCCTGGATATTTGGTCACTGACGGCCCCCAATGGGTAAGTTGTAGTGGGCCCTAAATCAGGGTGGCCATGTCACAAGCACAGTCACACTCCCTGACCCAGAACCAAAGACCGTTTGCAGAGGGCAGGACAGGTGATAAACACAGCAACACAAGGACAAGGTGACGAGCAGGTACAGAACCAAGACTTCCAGTATTAACAACAGCTAGCGCTGGCTCAAACAGAACTAAGCCCTGGTTTCCTTCTCTGTCGTTTATTCATTTTCTTATCCAGTCACTAATATTTGCTCTAACCTTACTGTATACCAGACCCTGTTGTCAACATTGGAGATACAGCAGTAACAAAGATGGACAAAATTATCTGTCCTCAGGGAGCTTATACTCTAATGTGGTGAGACCCAAAAAAGTAAAATATAAAGCATGTCTGACATAGCAAGGTGTATGGAGAGAAATCAAATAGAAAAGGAAGCTAGGAATTACAGGCTGCGAAGGGGAGCTGTGAATGTTTGGTGCCAAGCTTTAAAAGGATTCCTTCAAAATGAAGTAATCATCTTCTCCCCAAAGAACTTTATGATAATTATGTTCATGTGGTCCCAGGGTAACCACCGCACTCAGAAAAACCAAGAAATTTATGGACCAGAAAGTGTCCACTTAAAAACAGACAAATTGAAGATCCAATAATAGCTACCGCTTCTTGATATCTTGCTATGTACTATTCTCTGTGACTTACACCGGTAATCTCATCTAATCTTCATGTTGAATTATCGAAAAGAGTAACATTTTCCACATTTAACAGAAGAGAAAACAGAGGCCCAGTGCAATTAAAGAGCTGGCCCACGGTCACATGTGTGCTAAGTGTTGATGTCAAGATTTGAATCCAAAGTCCGCACTAGTCTTCCTCCCCAAATAAACGTCTACCTTAGAGGCAGGGTCTTGCTCTGTTGCCCAGGCTGGAGTGCAGTGGTGTGATCATGGCTCACTGCAGCCTTGACCTCTTGTGTTGAAGCAGTCCTTCCACCTCAGCCCCCTGAGCAGCAGTGACTACAGGCCCAAGCCACCACACCTGGCTAATTTTTATATTTTTATTTTGTGGAGACATGGTTTCACCATGGTTCCCTGGCTGGTGTCAACTCCTAGGCTCAAACGATCCTCCCACTTCAGCCTCCCAAAGTGCTCAGATTACAGGTGTTAGCCAACACACCCAGCAAGCGTCCACTTAAAAACAGACAGTCTTCCTTAATCCTAGCCAAGATCTGTCCCTGAGCATTTTATTGAGTTCTTACAACCCCACCAATCACCAAAAAAAGAAGTGGAGGTTGATTCCACATTTGCAGTGTCTTCTTTTCTCCAAATAAGAAAAAGGGAATGGCAACGGCGACCCTTAGATATTTAACAATTTCTGGGTCCAATTAGAAATTATTTCCTCAAATACTTGATATTAGGAGCAAAATAGTTCCATTTTGGTTTGAGAGTAAAGTTAGGCTTAGGGCAAATGAGAGTTCATGCAGCCAGTTTCTTTTTTTTCTTTTTTTTTTTTTTTGAAACGGAGTCTTGCTCTGTCACCAGGCTGGAATGCAGTGGTGCAATCTCAGCTTGCTGCAACCTTGGCCTCCTGGGTTCAAGCGATTCTTCCGCCTCAGCCTCCCTAGTAGCTGGGACCACAGGCGCGTGCCACCACGCCCGGCTAATTTTTTTTTTGTATTTTTAGTAGAGACGGGGTTTCACCATGTTGGCCAGGGTGGTCTCGATCTCTTGACCTCGTGATCCGCCCGCCTCAGATTCCCAAAGTGCTGGGAGCCACCACGCCCGACCCATACAACCAGTTTCTGACAAGGCAGAGTAAGCAACTCAAACTGAACACAGTCCATACAGAACTCTTGGCTGAGAGCCACCCTCCTCCCCACAAACACATTCCTCTCCTGTGATCCTCATCTCCACAAAGGACGTCTCAACCTCCCAGCATCTCAGGCCCACAAATCAAGAGTTATCCTTGCCCGTCTCGCACCGCCACATCAAATTCATCAGCAGTTTCCATCCGCTCCACACCAGATCTATATCCCTTCTCTCCAATTCTCTGCCAACCCCCAGTCCAAGCTGCCAGCATCTCTTTCCTGCACCACTCACATGGGATCCTAACTGGTCTTCCAGCTTCATGCTTTGGCCCCTTGAAAATCTCATCCCTACACAGCAGCCAGAGTGACCTAATAAGTGTCACTTCCCTTCCTAAAATCCTTCTGGGCCACCAAAACCCAGTCTGAAATTGTCACCTGGCCACCGAGGTGCTGTGTCATCTGCCTCCCCAAGTTCTTGACGTTTACTCTTCCCTTGGTTCACGGTGTATGAGTGATAAGATGGGTTTGATAAGGCTGGCCGCAGTGGCTCACACCTGTAATCCCAGCAGTTTGGGAGGCTGAGGTGGGCAGATCACAAGGTCAAGAGATCGAGACCAACCTGGCCAATATGGTGAAACCCCATCTCTACTAAAAATACAAAAACTAGCCTGGCGTAGTAGCATGTGCCTCTAGTCCCAGCTGCTCAGGTGGCTGAGGGAGGAGAATTGCCTGAAGCAGGGAGGTGGGGAGTTGCAGTGAGCTGAGATCGCGCCATTGCATTCCAGCCTGGTGACAGAGCAAGACTCTGTCTCAAAAAAAAAAAAAGATGGGTAATAAGAGAGTGCTCTAAATTAAAATGTGAATAGCAATAAAAGACACTAGACTCACTTAAAGTTATTCCTGCAAATACTTCCCTTTATCTCATCACCTTTTTTTAATCTTCACAGCACTTGCCACTTTATGGATTCATGGTAATGCCATCCTGTAAATCTATACAACGTTATTATGCCTGAAATATTTTCTTTAAATATCTGTAATAATGAATTACAGAAAGCGTTAATGTATGTTTTCCCCATATTCTAAGTATTTCACATTCTCATCCAGTCAGTGTGAGTCAAATGTCCTGAACTTACTCTCCTGAGTTGAGCATGTTCCCATCATGCAGTTTTCTTTCCTGTGACCTCTCTTTCGTCATTTAGTTCGTGTTCTGGCCCAAACTGCCTTCCTAAGGGCTTGAGGATGAGGCTACAAATAAAGGCAGAATATGATGCCAAATGTTAAAATATAAGTTTTACAGCAACTTGAGGACAGGGAAGAGGACACCAGGGTACAAACGGTTAGTGGGTGATTGGTGTTAAGTCCTGGGAGCTGGTGAAGAGCATTACAATTGCACAGCAGCCTAAGAGGTCAAACCAAGAACTTGGTAGCTATAGATTTGTCATTAACTGTGGGCACTTTGAAAAGAACTGCCAAAGAAAGATGCCATGAGCCCATAAGGAAAGGCAGCATGAATCAGCTGGTTACTTGTCACTAAGGCATTTCCCTGGACCAGGAGTAGGTGGTAGCTCCAGCTTCTGGAACAGTGCCTGGCACATAGTAGGTGCTCAATAAAACAATCTCTGAATAGATAAATTAATTGAACAATTGAATACATTTTCAAAGTTTCTATTTTTATCCACTTCTCTCTTCCTTTTCACTAATCCAGCTCTCCCTTCATAAGACCCTTCGAGAAGGGAGAATTTTGCAATCACAGAGTCATCATAAATCTTCTCCAAACCACTAATGGACCCTCAGCCATCGTTCAGAGAACACAATGCGGGAAATAGAAACACTGACACTGAGATGTTAACAATTATAGACAATGCTTATGGAGTCAGTGGTAGACTTGGAAAACGGTGAGTACAATGTGGTAAGAACAAACATTGGCAGACAGCTACAAATCGCAGTAAACAAACTCAATAAAGATGAGACATCACTTAAGCATGCTCAGAAGTGTACATAATACCACATTTCACCCAGGTAGCCTGCAATCGCGTAGGTATTATTGTCATTAAGTGTGCCTCTTCTCAACCTTGCCTCCAATCTAAACACCAAAATGGGTTTAAAATAATGCAAAAGAAAGTTACTCCAGTGCCTCCTAAGTCCACTCTAAAGAACAAATCCTTTAATACACATTGCAGGTAATATAATTGTTCCGCAGCAAGTAAATAATAAAATCACTGAAATCCAGGGTAAAAGCTCTGTTGGCCTCATAAGCTACTTGAAATAAAGGCTATTAAAAGTGATTGCTCAACACACCAACAAAATGCTGTCACTGACAAGGTCCCTTGAGTTGCCATTAATCAGACACAATTAGCAAGAACTGAAATCAGATTTAGGCATCTCCCATCTCCCACTGCCTAGGCACTCTACCTATTCTTCTTCAGCTTTCACGAACTGAAGGGGGAAAGGAAGGGGCAACAGCAGGCACTAGGACTATTTTGAGAAATAAAAGGATTCAAAAGTTAAGTGCAACTTCTACTAACATAGTAACACAACTCCCAGGAAGCCCAGGTGACTCAGAAAGTCCTGTATGTAGAATATCAATACAGAAACAACTGTTTCCATACTTCAAAAGTCCTCTTCCTTCAACTTCAGTTTCATGTAAATAACTGCCTGATATGTTTCAGATGGAAGCATATCTGAACATTTCCCAACAATCTACAGGAAGAAATAACTAAGTAAGATAGTCCATGCAGCAGAGATAAGCAACTTTCCAGGGTATGATTTAAATCTCACAAACATCCTTAAAAGCCCCAAGTCTATTAAAATCTGGGGACTATTAAATAGGCAGAACAAAATATCCCACCAACCACCTCTCCAAAAAGCATTGTTCTCCTCTCACGGGACATTTGTATTTCCCTCTGGCTTGCTTTTGAAAAACAATTTGAAAAAAAAAACAAACAGTAAACGGCAGTGCCACATCTATCCCTGTCTTCCTCACGATGGCAGATCTCACACACACTACCACCATTCCAAACCATTCCAAGTCTCCTGAGCCCTTTCCTCGCCAGCCCCATCCTTCTGCGCGTGTATAACTAGGCTTCTCAACTGTGAGGGGGAAGTGAGCAGGAAACTCCAAAAGGGACCTGAAGAGGAAATAATGATAATAATGTAAATTGCTATTAATATTAAAAGGGAGGAGGGGTTTTTTTTGAGTTGGAGTCTCGCACTGTCGCCTGGGCTGCTGCAACGTCCACCTCCCAGGTTCAAGCGATTCTTCTGCCTCAGCCTCCGAGTAGCTGGGATTACAGGTGCCCGTCACCACGCCCGGCTAATTTTTGGTATTCTTAGCAGAGATGGGGGTTTCACTATGTTGGCAGGGCTGGTCTCGAACTCCTGACCTCGTGATCCGCCCACCTGGGCCTCCCAAAGTGCTGGGATTACAGGCGTGAGCCACTGCGCCCAGCCTGTTTCTCTTTTTAAACAAAACTTCCATTACAGAGATCGGAGGTTGCAAGGCACAAATTGGAGCAGGGGTATATGTAAGGTCTCCCAGGATGACAAGTGGCAGGTTTTTGTTGATGGTGGTGGTGTTTGGAAGCACCAAACTTTAAAATGAACTGTGTTACGCAGAGAATTGCTGTAATCGAAGCAGACGTGCTAACGCTTTTTCACCCAGGCACAAAGCACACCCCTTCTGCCTCCCTTTCCCAGTCATTCTTCACAGGTGTGGGAAACCGCGGGCAACCAGAGCACCGGGACCAGCGCGCTCCTCCTGCCACTCCAGGCTCTGCAGGTGCCAGCACAGAAGAAAATCAGGGCTCTCACCTCCCTCCCCGCCACTGCGGTGTGGTCCCGGGAAGGGGCCACGGCGCGCCCCATCCTGGGCACCCCACCTGGAGGGGAGCAGGGACGCAGGAAGGGCACCGTGCGGAGGCATCACCAGTTTCGCTGAAGGCACAATCGCGCGCGCACACACACACACACACACACACACACACACACACACACACACACAGCGGCGCGCGAGGCGGGGCGCGCATTGGCGCGGGCGGCTGGCGCGTTACCTGTTCTGCCAGCCCTGGAGGAGGTTGGTGTATTTGCTGAGCACGCCCTCGAGCGCCGGCTCCCTCCTGCGGCCGCCTCCCCCGGACGGGCTAGCGGCCACCGAGCCCGGGCTGCTGCGGCTGCCCCCGCCACCAAGCCCGGCCGCCGCCGACCGGCTGGAGACCCCCCGGCCCGCCAGAGAGCAGGAGGGCGAGGAGCCCGCCGAGGTGGCACGGCTGCTGCTGCGGCTGCTGCTGTTGCTGCCCCCGCCGCCGTCTGCGCCCTGGGCCGCCCTCTCCATGATCCGTGCGCGCCCGGGACGCGGGTGCCCGCCGCGGTGGCGGCCCCGGCAAGGCAGCGGCTGCGGCGGCGGCGGCTGCTACAGCTCCGGGCGCCCGGGCCGCGCGTGGCTGCTCCAAATCCCCGGGAAATGCCTGACTCATACAGGAGGAAGAGGAGGAGGAGGCGAAGGAGAGCTGGGAAGGAAGCCAACGGGGCTGGATGCAGCTGCAACCGCCCCTCCTCCCGCCGCGGCCAGGGCCGGCCCCTCCCTCCGCACGAGTTTCCCGGGCAAGTTCAGAGCCGGTGGCAGGCTAGGCGAGCCCTCTTCGGGTTCCTCCTCCTCTTCCTCCTTGTCCCCGCGGCGTCTCAGGCCCTGGGGACACTCTAGGAGGCCGATCTACAAGGTGGGCACGCCCTAAATCCACGCCGAGTCACCCTCGCATTCCTTCTGCCACCCTCTCTAGGATCCGAAGGGGCGAAAGGGAATCTCTGCACGTCACTCCCCACCCCCTATCCACCTCGGGACCTGGAGGGAGGGGCGGCCCCTCCCACCCCCGGATATGGACCCGCCCGGCCTGACTGGCTCACACGCGCACTCCCTCTCTCGGTCTTCCGCACACGATCGTGGGCCAGACGCTCCTACACAGTAACCTGGAAATTATCACTGGCGAAGCAAAGTCACAGGACAGGGAGGACCTCCGCGTCGTCTGGCGGAGGAGGGAAGTGGCAGGTGATCCTCACAGGTAAGCTCGCCGGGCATTTTCATGCAGCGGGGTTATGATAAATACTTAAGAGACACGGCTGGGCTGGGGTGAGGCGCGCGAACTCTCAGGTTTGTGTGACCGCCTCCTTAAATTGAGTGTCCTAGGTAACTCACTGGCCTGAGCCTAATCCCCTGCCCTGAATGACACGCATAAACCTGACAAGTCAAAATCTACCCATTGTTATCACACCGCACATGCACCTGGGAGCAGAAGCTCTGAAACCGGGAAAACTGTGCTGGAGGCAAGGGAGATTAACAGATATTTACAAACACTGAAGGATTCTCTGTGTTGGCTGTAATTTCTGTGCCCCTCTTCCCACCTAAAGATACTCTTTCCACCCCACTAATAATTTTTGTTAATATAGATATCCATTGCAATCTGAAATATCAAAAAATTACCTAGGAAAAAGCTTTGAGGAGCTCAGACTCCCTCTCACACAGACAAAACAAAAGGTGGTAGATGATAGGTGATCCCAGTCCAAACGATCTACAAACCCATGAAGCAGATAAATACTTCAACAGTTAAAAAAATTCCTGAATGAAAGAATCAGCTCCCAAGGGGGCAGTTCCCCGCGCTTGACCCCTTTCTAGCTTCACATCCTTCCAGGAATATTTCACAGGTGGTTTAGCTGTAGAGATTTTCACGGAGAAGCTTCTGGAGCTGAAGAGAAATGGTTGTGTCCCCAAGTAAATTACAATTCTAGGTGCCTACACCGTGTTGAAGAAAAAATCTGAAGACAGATTGCATGGACCAACTCTGAAGCCATTCACAACTGAATTCCAATCTGTGACCTTGATCAAATTACCTTCTTTAGCTTAGTTTTCTCACCTGCAACATGGGACAAATGATACAGATTGTGATAAACTGCAAGAATGTTCATTTGTTCAAAATATTTACTGCTGCTTCCTATAGAAGGAGTATCCTTCCTCCACATGGACCTCAGGCTTGGCCACGGAATTGCTTTGAGCAATGGAATGTGAACAGAAGTAATGAATGCCCCTCCCAAACATAAGCTTTAAGAGCTGTCATATGGTCCCACCATCTTTCTCTTTTCTTTATACCAGGAGAACAGCATGTCCCAGATGAGGGCTCTTCTTAAGCTTGTGTCCTGGAGTGAGAAGGCATGGAATACATGGCCTAAGCCAGTTAGTGTTGGCCATGTAACATGCACAGAATGTTTGTTCAAAGCCATTGAGATTTTTTTTTTTTTTTTTGAGACAGAGTGTTGCTCTTTTCCCAGGCTGGAGTGCAATGGCACATCTCGGCTCACCACAACCTCTGCCTTCCGGGTTCAAGCAATTCTCCTGCCTTAGTGTCCCGTTTTAGTAGAGACAGGGTTTCTCCATGTTCGTGAGGCTGGTCTCGAACTCCCAACCTTAGGTGATCTGCCGACCTCAGCCTCCCAAAGTGCTGGGATTACAGGCATGAGCCACCACGTCTGGCCTAGCATTATTTTTTTACCACACCATACCTTTGCCTAAGCTAACTGATATACCGATGATATATGAGTGTTCATTGAGTCCTGCATTGACATACAGACTGAGAAGGTAGGAAGGTAGGTGCATACCGAACTATAAATGTCAGTCATCATGTGCCAAAACAACATGACTTTTTATTGGAGACTGCCACCCTAAACTCCTGCTAAAAGAGAAGTGTCATCATTTTATTTCGTATTATCTAAACTATGCCGCCATTATGCAGCCAACCTATAGCTGGGTGAGCTAGCACAACAAATTCTCACCTTGACTAAAAAATGAGACCCTTGAGACAGACCAGTTCAAGTGGAGGAAGGAATTAAGCTAAAAGGAATAGTCAAGGCCAGAATGGGGCAGGAGCAAGCCAGCCATACGGCATCAAAAATGTCCGAGGCACTAGCAAGAGGTGAGTGGGGCAGATGGGCTGAAAGTAGACACAATATCATGAAAGAGAGATGAAGCATGTGCTGTTCCCCCTGCAGGCAACACTATTCCCTGCTCTCTTCACCTGGTTTGTGTTTCTCACCCATGAAGTCATGAATTACAAGTCACTTCTTCCAGAAAGTTTTCCTTGACCTAGCCTAGTACAGCAAATGGGGAAAAGGTACCTGCAGAATTATCTTTGGAGAGGAAAACATCTTTATGTTTGAAAAACAATTTGAAAAATATGTAATAAATTGGCCAAACGTATTTGAAATATGTTTGTAATGCCCAACAGGTTCATCTTGCTTGTTACCCAGAAAAGCCAATGCAGGTTTTTGCAGTAGAGGAAGAGTTTAACGATTGTAGGTCCAGCCAAGCTGGAGGGCAGCAGTTTATCATTACTCAAATCAATCTCCCTAAAAAATCAGAGCCTAAGTTTCTTTTTTTTTTTTCTAAGGGGAAAGGAAGCAAGATACAGTTGGAAGAGGGTGAAGCAGGTGCCTAAGGCTCTTTTAAGGATAGTTTGGTGGGCAGGGGGCTAAGGAATGGGGAATGCTGATAGGTTGGGTCAGGGATGAAATCATAGAGTCAAAGTTTGTCTTCCGGCACTGAGTCAGTTCCTGAGTATGGGCCACCGGACCTGATGAGCCAGTTTACTACACTGAGTGGTGGCAGCTGGTTCATCAGAATACAGGGTATGAAAAATACCTCAAACACAAATCTTAAGTTATACAATAGTGGTGTTATCTATGGGAGTGATCAGGGAGGTTAGAAATCTTCTGACCTCTAAAAAAAAAATGGCAGGTTTTTAACTATGCCTTCATCTTAGCAAAGTTCAGACCCCTCTTAATCCTGTGACCTTTCACTAATTCTGCAAAGGTGATTTGGTATTCAAAGGAGGAGGGACTAGTTTCAGAAAGAGCTATTACAATCCTTGCTTTAGGGTTAGACTATGAACTAAATTCCTCCCAAAGTTAGACTTGGCCTACACCCAGGAATGAACAAGGACAGCTTACAGTTAAGAAGCAAGATGGAGTCAGCTATATCAGATATTTTTTGTACTGTCATAATTTTGCAAAGGCAGTTATTTTTAAAGTATGTTTAAAAATATTGACTAGGCCGGGCATGTGGCTCATGCCTGCAGCGCCAGCACTTTGGGAGGACAAGATTGGTGGATCACTTGAGGTCAGGAGTTCAAGACCAGCCTGGCCAACATGGTAAAACCCCATCTCTACTAAAAATACAAAAATTAGCTGAGCGTGGTCACACACACCTGTAGTCCCAGCTACTCTGGAGGCTGAGGCAGGAGAATTGCTTGAACCCAGAAGGCAAAGGTTGCAGTGAGCCAAGATCATGCCATGCACTCCAGCCTGGGCAAGAGAGCAAGACTCCATCTCAAAAAAAAATTTTTTTTAGTTGACTAAACATAAATGCCCAACATGAGGACCACTGCCTTAATTTGCCCAGATTGTTTAAGTCATTTAGAAAAAAAAAATTTTAGAGATAGAGTTTCACTCTTGTTGCCCAGGCTGGAGTGCAGTGGCATGATATCTGCTCACTGCAACCTCTGCCTCTTGGATTCAAGCAATTCTCCTGCCTCAGCTTCTCAAGTGGCTAGGATTACAGGCGCCCACCACCACACCTGGCTAATTTTTTGTATTTTTAGTAGAGAGGAGGTTTCACCATGTTGGTCAGGCTGGTCTCGAACTCCTGACCTCAGGTGATCCACCTGCCTCAGCCTCCCAAAGTGCTGAGATTACAGGCATGTACCACCATTGTGCCCGGCTGAATTTTTTTTTTTTTTAAGACAGAGTTTTGCTCTTTGTTGCCCAGGTTGGAGTGCAATGGTGCGATCTCGGCTCACCACAACCTCTGTCTCCTGGGTTCAAACAATTCTCTTGCCTCAGCCTCCTGAGTAGCTGAGATTACAGGCAATTGCCACCACACCTGGCTAATTTTTGTATTTTTGGTAGAGATGGGGTTTCTCCATGTTAGTCAGGCTGGTCTCGAACTCCTGACCTCAGGTGATCCGCCTGCCTCAGCCTCCCAAAGTGCTAGGATTACAGGCGTGAGCCACCGCGCCCAGCCTGAAAACATTTTTAAACATAAATAGAATGACTGGAAATCTAACAGCCGTCACAGACCATGTAAAGATTTTAGGAATGAAGCTATGTTTGATTAGAGCAATAGGACAAACACATTACACCTCTTGAAATAACGGGCAGAATCAATAATTCCCAGTAGGGAGCTGACTACCCCATCTTCATCTCCACATGGACCTGGAGAGCTGGTCTGGAGTTTCTAGTAGTTGCTTCTGAGACTCCCTCCTCTAGCTGGAAAGCCTTGGGAGGATGTTAGTGGACCAGCAAGTAAGTGAGTGGACATTGACTTCATCAGCCAGGTGATAGGAATGAAGCTTGGCCACAAGTACAGAGAAAATTATCACAACCAGATCACTCTCTGATATCAACTTGGTCTTATCTGTGTTAGAAACATCTGGTCTGATGTGTTGCACATCCCAAATAATAATAACAACAGCTAATATATATTGAGCACTAAGTATGTGCTAGACTCTGCTTTAAGTGTTTTCCCGCATACTAACTCTTTAAACCCTCACAACCAACACATGAGCAGATCTACAGTTCAATCTAAACTGAATTGAAGAGAGGTTCAGCAATAGGCCCCAAATTCTGGTGGAGCCAGGATTTGAACTTCGGCACTTTGGCTACTGAGCCTGAGTTCTTAGCCACTATATTATACCACTAGCTTCTTAATGAATCCAGTTGCATTTCCTCTGCTTAATGAAACTACAGAAAGCACAGCTCAGTGCTTGGAATTCCATTTCCTGTTTTTTTTACACATTTAGGAATTGATCCTCTCATTACACTCTGAGAGAAGCAGCGCAGGTGCTCGGGCCCCTGGCACCCAGCCATAGGGCCTGAACACAGCCATACTTAATACATGTTTATTGTATGAAAAGTGAAGCCCAATTTTACTGAGGAAGAAACAAAGAGGAGGAGCCAATACTGAACCGAGGCCTTCTGACTCCAAGTCCAGTATTCTTGCTGCTTGAACTTCAGCTGTGAAGTGTACATGCAACTTTACCATCCGATGGGAAGAAGAAAATACCAGAATTAAGGTATGGACAGCCCACTATCCAGTGAATAAATCGCTCCACTAAAAGTACCCTGAGAAGCCGGGCGTGGTGGGTCACGCTTGTAATCCCAGCACTTTGGGAGGCTGAGGCGGGTGGATCACGAGGTCAGCGGTTCTAGCTCAGCCTGACCAATATGGTGAAACCCCATCTCTACTTAAAAAGACAAGATTAGCCGGGTGTGATGGCACGCACCTGTAATCCCAGCTACTTGGGAGGCTGAGGCAGGAGAATCGCTTGAACCCGAGAGGCGGAGGTTGTGGTGAGCCAAGAGCATGCCATTGCATTCTAACCTGCGTGACAGAACAAGACTCCATCTCAAAAAAAAAAAAAAAAAAAAAAAGATTACCCGGAGAATTACATCCAAAGAAATCAAATAGCTACGAGAGTTATATGCAGTTTAGCCATACGTACATTATTTTTCCAAAATGGAAATAATGTCGTTATTTTATTATTTTATTAAATAGATGCTCACTTTCAAAGATTTGAGCACAAACTTACAAAGTCAAAACTGAAAGCCAGGTGCAGTGGCTCATGCCTATAATCCCAGCACTGTGGGAAGCTGAGATGGGAGGATCACACAGGAGCTCCAGACAAGCCTGGGCAACCTGGAGAGACCCCATCTCTAAACACATTTTAAAAATAAGCCAGGCACAGCACATGCACCTGTAGTCCCAGCTACTCGGGAGGCTGTGGCAGGAGGATTACTTGAGCCCAGAAAGTCGAGGCTGCAGTGAGCTATGATTGTGCTGCTGCACTCCAGCCTGGGTGACAGACTAAACCCTATCAAGACCCTGTCTCAAAAAAAAAAAAAAAAAAGAAAGAAAGAAACTGAAAAATTATTTATAAACCACTGCTAACAATTTATAAATATATATGTGTATATATAATTATGTACTTTTATATATGTGTGTCCATATATATGTATGTGTATACACACACACACACCACACACACATACACACATACAAACACATATATATATATATGTGTATATATATATATATATATATATATGCACACACATCTCCTTCCCTTCTTCCAGATACTTTTCAACAGGTTCATACTATAAAATATATAATAACTTTCTAATTTACCTTGTTCACTGAAGAATATAGTATAGGCAATTTCCTTTGGTGCTATATCATCATTTGTAACAGTTTCAGAATATTCTGCTGTCTATATGCATCCAAATTTAATCATTCCACTCTGATGAACATTCATATTTCAAGCTTTTGCTATTGTGAGAAATGTTCTTTAAATATCCTTATATGTTAGTTTAATTATTTCCTTAGAATACGATCCATTGACTAGGTCAGGCTGCATACACTTATACATGTGACTCCTGTACTGCAGAATGAACCCCCAGAAAGTCTGAATCAATGTTTACTATGCTGGTTCTGGCTAGCTCTAATGTGTCGGAGCATTGGCCGGATGGATGAGGCTGGCCTTGTCTGGGCTGAGCTCTCTCCTCCACAGGGTCTCTCATTCTCTAGCAGGCCAGCCCAGGCTTGTTCTCATGGCGTGGGGAGAATTCCAGAGGGAGGAAACAGGAAGGACCTCCTGAAGCCTAGCCTGGGAACTGGCACCATGTCACTTTGCTACATTTCAACTAACAGTGCTGGGAAACTGAAAGACCTATACCTCACACTTTACACAAAAGTCACCTCCAAATGGATCAAAAACCAAAATAGGAAATGTAAAACCATCAGGCTTTCAGGGAAAAACATGGGAAAAAGACGTATAAACTTGGGTTAGGAAAATGTAGCAAATACACATTGCCTTTTGTGATAAGGGACGGACAATGAAGAGGGCAAAACCAAGGATTCAGAGAGGGGAGCCCAGAACCCCAGATGAGCATTCCCAAGCCTTGAGACCTAATCAAGGAACTTGCAACATTTGCCCGACTGGCTTTCAAAATGGCCTTGGATCACCAACCCTTTTGTGCCTCCTGTTTCCCCACTTTTGAACAAGAATATCTGAAGCAATTACCCTGTGTCTGCTTCACCATTGTGTTTCGAGTGTGAAGGGACAGATAACCAGTCTCTTTAGTTTCACAGATCAGAGGCACGGCACCCACGGAGCTAAACTTACTAACCTGAGGATCTTCTCCTACAAGACCCTACTTAGATGGTGAGATTGTGGACTTGAAGCTAGTGCCGTAATGGGATCAGACACTGGAGGCCATTGAGAAGTAGGATGAGTATGTTCTACATGCGGGAGGAATATGAAAAAATTTGTGGCCAGAGGGTAGACTGTGATGATTTCAAAGATATGTCTATAGATTCCTCTCTTTTAGGGGTGAAGCTTAATTCCTCCCCTCTTGAGTGGGGGATGAGCTTAGTAACCCACTTCTAATGAATACAATATGGCAGAAGTCATGATATATCTTGTCCAAGATAAGGTTATAAACAGGGGAGTGCTCACTCTCTCTGTCTTTCTCTCATCAGTCACTCTAGGAAAGCCAGCTGCCATGACATAAGAACACTCGGGCCACCAATGGACAGCCCATGTAGGAGGCATGAAGGCGTGCCAGTCACTCCGTCAGTCACCTTGTAAGCAGATTTTCCGAGACCTGCTAACAGCCATGTGAGTGACCTTGGAACTGGGCTGTCACCAGTCAAGCCTTGAGATGATTGCAGCCATGACCCACAGCTTGACCACAACCCATGAGAGACCCTGAGCCAGGGATACCCAGCTGAAGTGCCTCCAGACTCCTGACCCACAGCCACTGTGAGATAATCAGTGTTTGTTGCCTTCAGGCACGAAGTTTGTGATCATTTGTTTCTCGGCAATAGATAACTAATACAGATGTCTACCCTGAAACTTGTCATTTTGTGATCCTTATGTTTTGGGATCCTTCCCACTACCAGTGACCAACTTTTCACATCCTGAAGATACGAAGCAGTGAAAATAAGAGAATTCAAGACAGGCAAACAAACAAACAAACAAATAAAACATATGCCAGGCACAGTGGCTCATGCTTGTAATCCCAGCACTTTGGGAGGCTGAGGTGGGTGGATCACAATGTCAGAAGGTCGAAACCCCACCTCTATAAAAAATACAAAAATTAGCTAGGCTTAGTGGCACACACCTATAGTCCCAGCTTCTGGGGAGGCTGAGGCAGGAAAATCACTTGAACCAGGGAGGCAGAGGTTGCAGTGAGCCAAGATCACGCCACTGCACTCCAGCCTAGGCAACAGAGTGAGACAGCTTCTCAAAAAAAAAAAAATACGTATACATGTGTGTGTGTGTGTGTGTGTGTAGGTGTGATGTGGACAAAAAGTATGGACACATGGAAATATGGAACAGAGTAAAAAATCTCAAAACAGTTTCACATTAATACAGTCAGTTGATTTTGACAGTGCAAAGATAATTCAGTGCAACTTTTTGCATTGGTTTCCTATTGCTGCTATAAAATATTACCATAAACATAGTGGTTATTGGCTGGGTGCGGTGGCTCACGCCTGTAATCCCAGCACTTTGGGAGACCGAGGTGGGCAGATCACGAGGTCAGGATGTCGAGACCATCGGGCAAACACAGTGAAACTTCATCTCTACTAAAAATACAAAACTTAGCCGGGCATGGTGACAAATGCCCCTAGTCTCAGCTACTTGGGAGGCTGAGGCAGAAGAATCACTTAAACCCCGGAGGTGAAGGCTGCAGTGAGCCAAGATCACACCATTGCACTCCAGCCTGGGTGACAGTGAGACTCCATCTCAAAACAAAAACATAATGGTTATTATAAAACAATACAGCTTGGTTATTTTACAGTCCTCGCAGTCAGAAGCCCACAAATGGGTCTTAAATGGTAAAATCAAGGTAGCAGCAGAGCCATGTTGTTTCTGGAGGCTGTAGGGGAGAATTTATTCCTTGCCTTTTCCAGCACCTAGAGGCTGCCCACATTCCTTGGTTCCTGGATCTTGGTCGCTTTCAGCAAGAACATCGTTCCAGTCTCTGGTTCTGTCATTGCATCTCCTCCTCTGACTCTGACCCTCCTCTCTTTTTCACAGAAGGACCCTTGTGATTACATCAAGTACACCTAGATGATCTTTTCAACAGGTGGGGGAACTGGACATCTATCTGCAAAAAACAAACAAACCTTGGCCAGGCACGGTGACTCATGCCTGTAATCCCAGCATTTTGGGAGGCCAAGGTAGGAACATGACTTTAGGCCAGAATTTCAAGATCAGCCTGGGCTACATAGCAAAATAATGTCTGTCCAAAAAAATTAAAAAATTTTTTGACAGAGTGTCACTGTGTCACCCAGGCTGGAGTGCAGTGGCGTGATCTCAGTTCACTGCAACCTCCACCTCCCGGGTTCAAGCGATTCTCCTGCCTCAGCCTCCCGAGTAGCTGGGGACTACAGGTGCATACCACCACACCCAGCTAACTTTTTGTGTTTTAGTAGAGATGGGGTTTCACCATGTTGACTAGGATGGTCTCGATCTCTTGACCTCATGATCCATCTGCCTTGACCTCCCAAAATGCTGGGATTACAGGCATGAGCCACCGCACCTGGCCAGAACTTTTTAAATAAAAAATTAGCTGGGTGTAGATAGCACATGCCTGTAGTCCTAGTTACTCAAGAGGCTGAGGCAGGAGTATCGCTTGAGCACAGAAGTTCAAGGCTGCAGTGAGCTGTGATCATGCCACTGCACTCTAGCCCGGGCAATAGAGTAAGACCCTGTCTCTAAAAACTAAGCAAACAAATATTTACTCTACAAAAGATATGGGTATGGGTAAGGAAATGAAAGGCAAGCCAAAGACTGGGGGATATATTTGCAAATCATCTGTTTGACAAAGGCCTTGTCTCCTGCGTATGCAAAGAACTCTCAAAATGCAGAAGAAAAACTTACATTTTTAAATCAAAAAATTTAAGCATTCACTTCACCAAGTAAGATATACAGATGTCCAAAAAAGCACATCAGGAGATGTTTAACATCACTAGTCATTAAGGAAATACAAATAAAACTACATTAAGGAAATACAAATAAAAAAAAAAAATGGAATACTACTACATACCTATTAACATGACGACATGTACAAACACACACACACATACACACACACTGGCATACTACATACCTATTAACATGACGACATATAACATACACACACACTGGAATACTACATACCTATTAACATGACGACATATAC